CGCGTCATGAATGCGAGTCTGACACAGTGAAACTGCAGTAGCGCTCTTTTGCCAGTAGATGCCAACATTTTCACAAATCGAGCAGAAACTTGCGTACGCCTTGTCTAGGGTTGCCGTGAGAATGTGCGTGGCGGTACGCCAAGTTTAGTTTTTATACATCTCGACGTGAGCGTGGAAACGGGCGTGCGCAACATTTTTGTGCGTAAGCACCGTTTATACATGAGGCCCCAGGTCCTGTTCCCAGAGGCGTTTCCCATTATTTTGGCCCTGGTTTGGTTTCTTATGCCCCATGTCTCTGTCCTGATTCCCCTTTGCTTTAATGCTCTGTTACCATCTTTCCTGGTCACTGAGTCTCCCTGATATCTGGTCTTGTATGGTTCCTGGTCCCTGGTCCCACATCGGCTCTAAGAGGAGGAGAGTGCGAGGGCGTCACAAAAATGTAAATATGACTGACAGCCATAAACAAAGCAGCATCTGGCTGCAGTGTAAAGACACTGGGAATAGCAGAGCAGAGCGTCTTCACTGTAAAATGAAAATAACAGCAAGAGCAGGTTCCACCACAAACTTGCACAGACACATCAGAACTGTCCGTCCCACAGCGCAGTTGTGGGAGAGAAGGCAAGCTGGCTCAACGTCCCAAACCAACAACTGCTGCAGCAGCTACTAGTCATGCAAGTATAACCTTTCTTACTGCAACTCAAAGCAAAATAAGTCAGTTTATACCAAAGCAGATGACCCCAGCCAAACAGCACAGTATTGATGAGGAGTTGAAATGGCTAAAATGATTGCCACTGATTTCCAGCCCTTTTCCATTGTGGAGGACAAAGGTTTTAAAAGTTTTGTCAAAGCCTTAAATCCCATGTACACTCTACCCAGTAGAAAAATATCGTCCCTAAAAATGAATGCATTGAACATGATGCAATGAATGCAATGAATGAAATCCCAAACAAGAGTGTGCCAGCAGGTGGAACTCAACATTTTATATGTTGAAACGCATTCTTGAAACAAAAGATGCCAACATCTCCACCCTGGCCCTCATCAATGGACAGAAAATATCTGCGTATGGACTGTCCTCTCAGAAACCACGTTACTGGATCCTAGGCTTAAAAAGCTTGTATTCAGTGACAACAGAGCTATTGAGGAGGCACTTCAGAGAATAACTGCCACAGCGGTGAAACGCAGCCCAGTAGCCAGCCAGCTCCACCATTAGAGGGCCAAGTGGAGGAGGGGCCACAAACTAGTGATGTGTGGAGGCTCTTTGATGGAAGAGCTGCAGGAGATGCTGCAGAGAGAAATACTACAGCTGATGTTATAATGGAGATGCGATGCTATCTTGAGGAGCCCCTCATCCAACGTGGAGAAGACCCACTGAGCTGGTGGCAGGCCAAGGCCTCAGTCTTCCCACACCTGGTGAAGGTGATGGAGGGGAGACTGTGCATCGTGGCAGCATCTGTTTCTTCGGACAGAATCTTCTCAAAAACAGGGCAGATACTGACTGAGAGGAGAAACTGCATCAGCCCATCCAAGATGAGGCATTTGATTTTTCTGAATGTCAACCTGCACTGAGGACATACTGTTTACTGGTTACTGAGTTTGGTTCTGTTTCTGTTCTGTGGATTTGTTTGCAGTGTTTTCTTCATTTGTTTTTGTCTTAAAGTTAAAAGTTTGATTAAAATATTAAACAAAAGTAAGAATGCCTGCTTTTGTAAGAAAATAAATACACAAAACTAGGCAATTATAAGGCTTCTCTTAAAAACACTAAATGCAAAAGGGTTTATCAACACACAAAGCATTCATATTTGCCAAGTTAGGCTAAAATATGAGGCTACAGATGATACGTTAAGAGCCGTTTGGGAGCCGAAAGAGCCGGTTCTTCTTTGGGAGCCGTGCCACAAGAGCCGGCTCTCTGAAAAGAGCCGAACTTCCCATCACTAGCTTACTGCCTTGGATGGAGGCAGCACCAGCCTCCCCGTCCTCCTCGAGCGAGGGGAGAGGATCCGCCCCGCTGTGCCGCCGCACCGACCGCTAGCTCCGGCGTCACAGCTCGACCCGCCCCGCTGCCAATCCTACCGCCAACACGGAACCCCGTCTTCCCTACACATTTACCCCCCGCTCCTGCCTCACCCATCCAGCCACACCGTGTCCCCCACTGCGAACCGGCAGCCAGTGAAAAGGGGGGGCGCTGTGTTAAACACCCGGGCTTCCTATTCCGTACTGCCCCCCCCCTCCCCCCATCTGTCTCAGTGTCCTTTAAGCAACATTCCTGCGACATTACTCCGCCCCTCTAGGTGCAGCCAGTCAGTTACCGGAGGGCAGGTTCTCCCCCCCCCCCCCCCCCCACAGGACGAACATTAATCTGTAAATGAAAGTGAAAGATTTAAAACCAGTCACCACGTGAGTAAGGAACACGAATAAGATGCTGGAAAAAGATATTTTGTATTGCAAGGTAAGATTATAGTCAGCAGATACAACTAATAATAAAATAAGCGTGTTTATCTTGCGGCGTCGGCAGAAAATTTTGATTGGGGGGGGCTGTTGCGGGGGGCAGTTATATTTATGGGGGGGGGGCGCACTGCACCGTGTCTGCTCTGTAAATCTGCTTAGAAAATAAAATAATCCAAATTTTGATTTTTATTATTTTGATGTGTGGTGGCCGCCCCTTAAATCTGCCCCTGTTTAACACACATGCTGGGATTTAATACTTCAGTATAATTAGACGTTTAATGTAATTCGATACACTGTAAATAATCGCCTGGAGTAAACATTACGGAATAATTCGCTTAACATTCCACAAAGTAACACGTTTATATAGAATGTTTTAATGACTTGAGTTCACCTGAAATGCAGCGCTGCCGAACATGGAGCGTGTGACACTACGGGAATAAAGCAGATACAGTTCTGCGGCTGTGTGGCGTTTTCTTAAGAAAAAAACTGGCGATAACTGTTAGCGTGACATTGTTATTTCAGTAACGTCCAGTTCAACGTAAAAGTGTTGATTGTTAGATATTGTACTGTATTTGTATGTGTCTGTTTACCCTTCATGTTCACAGAGACCCCAGTAGGAATCATCTGCTGTGGATCAGCATCAAAATGGAGGAACCTGCTTCTGAAATGACCCCCCCTGTGGGGTATAAGGAGAGAGGAGCTGCTTCTGAAATGACCCCCCCTGTGGAGTGTAAATCAAAGGGGCCTGAGAGGTAACAGTGTTACAGCCCACTAGCATGCATGTGTCTGTGGGTCTGTAGTCAGGCCATAAGGTAAAAGTAAACAGGGTTCCTAGCTAAGGCTGGGAGGCACATTAGTATTTATGGTTTAATAATGAAATACCTCAGCATTTCCTTTCCTCTGTCCTCCAAAATCAGCCAGTTCTTCTATTTTAGAGGCAACCATCCCATCATCCCTCCTACCCAAAATCACCACATACCATAACGCTGTAGAGAACAAATACATATACAAACAAACTGGGAAAGAGGAACAGCAGCCAAGTCTAGTGACAGAGGCTGTAACAGTGATAACTAAACCTTTCATACAGGAATATTAACTTTATATGAGACAGTTTATTTCACATTAAAGCTAAAAGTCTGTTTGCATGAAGAGCTTCACGGCTGGTTAACCAGAAGACTGATCAACGGAAGATTTAATGTGATTCTGCCCACATTACATTAATTATATTTATATAATGAGGATTTGTTGACCCATGATCTCTTGGTCAAGAAACAAGCATCTTAACCACTAGACCACCAACACCAACAGCTGGGTTGTCCTGTTACTTTATCAGAAACAAAAAAATCAAACAATTGCTTTCTTACAGTTTCCACACAGTATGATCGAGGTAAATCTTGTCATGCACATGTGTGTGCAGCCTGGATATTGGGTCTATTCTACTTTTTGTGAGTCTGGACATGTCTACTGTCCATGTACAATTGTTCCTCAATTCTGGTGGAATATCATTGCTGTATTCATGCACCAACCATGACTGCCTGTGTAGACTGAGAAATACAGTATATATGCAGACTTCTTAGCACACCATCAGTGAAAGTGCTCCAAGATAGCGCCCCCTGGAGTGGATGGCAAGAATGATGTTCTTGAGTTTTGCCACCATCCTCTTCTTCACTACTGCCTCCAGTGGGTCCAGGGTCAATCCTGTGATGGAGATGGCCCTCCTGATGAGTTTGTTCAGGGTCAGTCCTGTGATGGAGCTGGCCTTCCTGATGGGTTTGTTCAGGGTCAGTCCTGTGATGGAGCTGGTCTTCCTGGTGAGTTTGATCAGGGTCAGTTCTGTGATGGAGCTGGCCTTCCTGATGAGTTTTTTCAGGGTCAGTCCTGTGATGGATCTGGCCTTCCTGATGGGTTTGTTCAGGGTCAGTCCTGTGATGGAGCTGGCAGGGACCACACAGGATGTCTTCCTGATCTGGGGCACCTTCTGCAGCATAATTTCTACAATTATCTTGCCAGTAGACTACAGTATATACTAAAATGGATCAAACAAAATCCGGTGAGTGATATCTGGTATCGAACAAACATTCTGTAATGATGTCCAAATCCAGGATCTGCCCTTTATCAGCCTCACCATTAAAACATTGCTGTTTTAAGAGCATCAATATTAGCTCATCATTGACAGCCTGGTGGGAATTTCTTAAATTTAAAAGATCTGTACTGACCCCATGCAGATTTATACGGAGCCCAGGAGGGGACATGGGGGGAGAAAAAAAAAAAAAAGGTTAAACATTGGCGATATCCTGATATTTTACGAAATAGAAAAACAATATACTTTAAAACATGGGGCTCGTGTCATGGTTGCTGGGTAGACGTGTTTCAGCGTAGCTCCCGCCACTATGGATTAAACAACCATTTATAACAGTTCAAGGGCTTATTTTCGTTTCTCTTTACAAATCATTTCTTTCTTAAGTTACGTGACACTGAAAAGATCATTAATATGCCTCCAATACCGACAAAACAACTGCAAATACAGACCTCAAAACCCGATAAAACAACTGCAAATGCAGACCTCAAAACCCGATAAAACAGCTGCAAATACAGACATCAAAACCCGATAAAACAACTGCAAATACAGACCTCTAAACCCGATAAAACAACTGCAAATAAAGACCTCTAAACCCGATAAAACAACTGCAAATACAGACCTCAAAACCCGATAAAACATCCGAGATGGCTAACCGGGGAATCTACAACAGTAATGGACATGGCAAAATCAGCGATAGATACCAAAGCGCTTATCCATGAAATTACTCATACCATCAGTGAGATGATGGAAGACAAAAACAAGGGAGGGACAAAAAAAAAGGGACAAAAATATATATCATTGACATCTATGTTTTAAAACTGTTCTTGTGCTTTTAACTCATGACTATGCCATAAATAAGCTGTTTAAAATATTTCAGAAACGTAAGGCCTGGCCACTGGCAGTGGATGTTATGACCAGCGATGTTGCTGCGATGGGCACCATCTCCTTTACTGTCCTCCGTGCTTGTTCACCCCAACAGAGGGGGGGGGGGGGGCGGCCTGCTGAGTGTCTATTTAGTAGTAGCCAGAGTGGTAGTAGCCTGTCGCTCATTGACGTGGTGGGGCATCTATTTGCGGCAGGATGGAGAGAGCAAATAAGTTATCAGGTGCTCAAGGCAGAAAGAGAATAAAGAAAAGAAGAAGGAGTGCGAGGGGATGCGGCAAAAAATGCTGATGTGGGTGAAAGACAACAACAGGTATGAACTGTGATGGAAACAAATGTCACTTATGTGCAAGCTTGTGCCCAGCGTCAGCGATCAGGCTCTGAACTTCACAGAAAACTAGGCTAGATAGTGCTGCTGCTGGCTGGCGTACTTGGGTCAGGCAAGCTGACGCAGAGCGATTTCTTGCTGATGCACACAGGCTATAGGCAAGGATTTAGAAGCCGTTTGTCAAATTGATTGAAATGTGGTGCGTGCATCGTGAATGAGACGTTAACGTCGGTCGGACTAGCACCTGATCATGTAATTACCGTTCATGGACAGCTAGCTAAAGTCGGATGAAAGTAATACGACGACACCGTGAAGTAATGTACATTGCAACTAGGCCTATATGTATATATGTATAAAGCAACTATATTTAATGCTATATTAATTTCATTCAGGTGTGAGGATGGAAACAATGAGACAGGATCAAGAAATGAAAGGGAAAGCAACAGGTAGGTCGCTATTCTGTTCTTACCGTAACACAAACTCAGCTAACTGATGTATTATGATTACTGGTAAGACTGCATCAGATAGATGTGTAATTCATGTGCAATATGTCTGCAAAGTCACTAAATTGGGGGGGGGGGGGCAAAATTGTTGTTGCATACCCTCCAAAAAGTGAGTAGTTGCACCCCTGGGAGTAGCTATATTAATCCATAAACTCTGGTTTTTACAGTCGATAAAGTCCTGTCAGATGAAGAAGGGAGATGTTTTTGTATCCGGCTACCTGCATGGGGAGTCCGTTTTGTTGGCATCAGTGTATGCCCCTAATACCTACGAACCCTCTTTCTATTATAAACTCTTAGCGGATATTTTCTCCTTTTCCACATCCCTTACAATTATAGGAGGGGACTTCAACTGTGCTTTGGATCTGTAATAGATTTCAACCCCCCTAAACACCACTACCTATCCAAAATGTCTAGATCGACAAAGGAGCTTTGCTCCGAGCTTGGGCTGTTTGATGCCTGAAGGATTGCTTACATTTTTATCTCCAGAAAGGCCCTTGACCGGGCCAGGGTTAGCACTATTAAACCTTGCATGCTATCTGACCATGCATCAGTAAGCCTAGAACTTCTCTCACCATATCTGGATCCGCTTTCTAGATATTGGCGCTTTAATCCCACCTTTCTCAGCGATCAATTTTTTGTGAAATATTTAGAACAGTGGAACTTTTACATCTCTGAGAATTCCACTGCTAATATTTCAGCATCGATACTTTGAGAAGCAGGAAACGCATACATAAGGGGAGCTATTATCTCATACACTTCTGCTAAGAGAAAAAAAAATATTAACAACTCAACTCGAATTGGCAAAAAGAAATTGAAATTTTGGAAACAGAGTTTAAATCTTCACGCAGTTGTAACACAAGACATAAACTAGAGGCCGCTCACTCCTCTGTTAATCAACTTCTCACGCAAAAAGCAAAAAGCTCTATTTTCAACACAACACACAGGTTATTCGAACATGGCAATAAACTGGGCAGATTATTAGCTCACCTAGTGAGGGATAAAAAAGAATCTGGAATAATAGCTACACTCTTAGATGAAAAAGGAATGGAACACTACGAAACTAGGAATATTACTCAACTAATGAAAAGGTTTTATGAGAAATGATATTCATCTGAAAACCAGGATACACTGTCACATTGGGAAAGATTTTTCAAACAGATTCAACTGCCTACCCTTTCCGATGCACAGAGAAGCCTTGTCCGCTCCAGTTACCGAAAAAGAGGTTCTCAAAGTTATCCAAGGGCTAAAGGGAGGTAAGGCTCATTTGGGCCGGAATTTTATAAAAAAACTGGCTAATGTAATAGTTGGACCTATGACTAGGATGTTGACTGAATCATCTGAGAAAGGATGTCTACCTCCAACTCTCTATAATGCTAATATCTCATAAATTCATAAAAAGAACAGGCCTCTGAAAAATTGTGCCTCTTACAGACCCATCAGCTTAATTGAGTAGACTGCAAGATTCTGGCAAAAGTACTGCCTATTAGATTGGGAAGGTTTCTCCCCACTTTAATTAATCCAGACCAAACAGGTTTTTATTTTAAACAGGTACTCTAAAGCCAATATGCGACGCCTAATGAATGTTGTACAATTTTCCCAAACCCATAAGACCAAGGCCCTGGTACTATCCTTAGACGCGGAAAAGGCATTCAACCGGGTTGAGTGGGAATATCTTTTTGATGTTCTGCAGAGGTTTAGACTGGGTGAAGACTACATCCGCTGGATAAGTGTATTATATAAATCTCCCACTGCCAGGATCCTTATCCACGAATTATTCCCCCTTCGTAGAGGGACGCGGCAGGGTTGCCCCCCATCTCCACTCCTTTTTGCAATGGCAATTGAGCCACTGGCAGAGGCTTAGAAGACATAGGGAAATAACTCGTATTAAACCAGGAGAAATATATCACAGAATTGCGTTATACGCTGATGACATCCTTTATCCCGACCCTCAAATGGGAGAAAGATTTACTCCTCAACACAGACTCTGAGCAAATCTGTGTCCAAAAGTTAAACATATTGGCAATGACTCAGAATGCCAGCTTACAGCTGATACAGTATGAGATTCCTCATAGAACAAACTACACATGACGAAGGCTGTTCCAGATGGGTATCAGGGTTACTGATAGATGCGCAATCTGCATGAATGACTCTCGATAATTATTTGCACGCTATGTGGTACTGCACACCTGTTAAATTCTGGCTGAAGATTTGTGAAGAAATAGGTGATCCCACTAACATTAATATGGGCACAAAAGAAAAATCGCACATGCTCCTCACTGTCCTAACCATCACCAAAAAAAACAATCCTTTTGAACTGGAAGTCAAAAGAGAAATTAACCATAATACAATTTTAAAAAATCTACTGCTAGATCACATTTCTATGGAGAGAATGTCTGCCTGTACAAAAAATCAGCTGACAGATTTTGAATACAATTAATTTCATCATGCAGTGTTGTTGGGGGTAGTGGGGGTTTGCGGTTCTGGCCTCCGGGCTGGAGCCGGGCGTCCTGGCTATTGCAGGTCTCTGGCTTCCCACCAGCTGGGGTCACAGGGTCGCTGTCCCTGGGCGGCTGCAGGTCTGACCTGTGGGGGGAGGCGTTGGGGGTTCAGGGGCTTCGCCTTCCAGGGTGGGGGTGCGCTCGGGAGTATGTGGGAAGCTATCTGCTTAAGCAAGAAATCCTGCTTAATGAAATGGGCCCCAGTTCTAGCCCAGTTAGTTATTAGCCATTGTTAGCAATATCAGTTGATAACAGGCATACAGGCACATACAAGCTAGGAGGAAAATAACTTAAATAATGCTTTACTGAAGGTTTAATGTGATGCTGCTCACATTACATGAATTATATTTATATAATAAGGATTTGTTTCCTCTCTCTGCCCACAGTGTCCTGATGGAGAGAGCAGACTCACCTGCACCCAGCTGTGTTTCCATGAAGAGTGACTGGTCAATGGAGCTCCCAATCACCTTCAGAGAGGGACCTTTTCATACAGATCAGAGGTAAATGTGTAAACAAACACTGTTTGAAACAATCAGACTCTCATTCAAAATGCATACAGGCACACAAGCTATGAGGAAAATACCGTAAAATAAAGTACTTTTTTAACTTTCACAAATCTTGTTATCTTTGAGACTTTACTGAAAATTCCCCAAAGAGTTAACATGATCCTGCCCACTAGGGATGCACCGATCTAACTTTTTCAGTTCCGATACCAATACCTGGGCTTTGGGTATCGGCCGATCCCGAGTACCGATCCGATACCGGTGATTAATTAATAAGACATATGTCACACTGTGGAGAGGAGATGGAGATTATATTTAAGGAGACATCAGGCTTAAATATTTGACCTAAATATCTCATTTTGGAAGACAATGTAAAAAATACGCACACACAAATATGTATAAGCTGAATTACTTACTATTAACATAATACTAACAACCTGGTAACAGTAAAGTGAGAGAAATTCCAATTCCAATGTAAGTAATGTTATAAGTTTCAGGTGCAGCAATCTTCAGGAATTACAATTGCAGTATACAACAATAGAAGTGTATTAAATGAAAACCCTGCACTTTGAGGGTCGCCTCTCGCGTCCAGTCAGTGTGCAGTTAAACTCAAAAGCGATAATGGGCACATGTCAGAGATCCAGGTATCAGTGGGGAAGCTAATCGCTGGTACATCTTTTATCATTTTTGATACAGGTTCCCATACTTTTTTGTACAGCTCACGCAGAGCGGTCTCAGAAAAATGTTTCCGTCATGTCAAACTGTACCATGGTTCAAAGTGTTCAATCGGGCAGCGGAATCCCTCATTTTCTACAACTACGATGGGTAGCTCATCCAGAACAATCAATTCGAGTACCTTTTCTGTTATTTTTCTTGCTTTTACAGTATTGCTGGGGAGTTTCTCGCGCCTTTGCAGTGCTGCCTGTAGAGTTACCTGCTTCGTCAGTCCCCTGTTTTTGTTCTGTTCAGCTCCTCACACTCTTTGGCATGACGCTGCTGGAGGAGCTTCATTAACTTGGTCGTGTTATACTTTGCAGTGCTGCTGCCTCCCCGCGAAACATTGGCTCTGCAGATATTGCAAACAGCCGTGGAACTTGTTGGCGTAGCAAGTGTGAAATACCTCCGCACAGATGACAGTTTGTCGTTAGCTCCTTCCATGCTGTTAGCTGTTCTTGTAGCTTTCCTTAACAAAACGCGCTGGTTTAACTGCGCGCCGCTGATGCATTACGGAGTTTGCGCACGCATGACGTACCTTCTGCACGAATACAGAAAAACTTTACAATTTAATCAAATAGATTTGTCCCATAGATCGGCCCAATGCCACCGATATCCGATCCACTTATTTAAGCCTTTAATCGATATAGGTATCGGATCGGTGCATCCCTATACTGCCCACATTACGTGAATTATATTTATATAATGAGGATTTGTTTCCTCTCACCGTCCACAGTGTCCTGATGGAGAGGATAAAAGCTTCTCAAAGAATGCATCTTTTTTAACTTTCACAAATCCTATTGTCTTTGAAAATTTAAACAGAAGTTTTGCTGGTGTTCAATATAAACTTCATCTGAGGTAAAAGGATGAGGATTAATGTAAAGAATGATTTCCTGCAAGCTGAAATTAGAAGTTGCTTAATTGAAATTTCATTGCTGTACTCGTGCACCAACCACGACCATCTGTGTCGACTGATAAGTGCATTATGTATGCAGCCCGTTCACTGACCATAATGACATGTGGCAAAGTGAAGTGTGAACTGGGCTTAATGGTCATACTGTAAGCAGCGAAGATTCTCAGTAGAACTTCTTAGCTCACCAACAACACATTATGCAGTATTTTGCGTAGAAAAGCACCGTAGCAACACGTCTACAGATAGTGGTTTGACATTGCTGGTAGTGTGATACGCCAGTAGTACAGTATTGCTGGGGTTTTTTCTCTGATGGCCTCGCCGCTTGTCACAGAGGGTGGGTTTGGTTGCCACCTGCTTCATATTGATAAATAAAACTTTGTATCCTGTTTTGAACCAACATGAGACACGACTGAAAGTTGCAGCACTGATTGCTGGTGTCTGTGACTGTAAGCGCCTGCATTCTCTATGTCCCACTGGATCACGATGCTTCATGGGGTGAAAAAAGTTTGTAGTATTTCCAGTTCCCAGCCAACACATCCATGTGGGGCCCGCATGGGATGCACTTGGGCTGACATGGGAAACCCAAGTGGGGCCCAGTCAATTTTATCCGCAGTTTCCATGGTGGCCCCACATGGGTTAGCCCACATGGGCTAATGATGGGCCCCTGATGGGCTCCATATACACTGAAAAAAAGAACAAGTTGGATTTACTTAATTCAATAGTGGACAGTGGTTGCACAGATGTTTTGCTTTGGCAGCAACTTGAACAATTGAGTTAAAGTATTAATCTTTATTAACTCTAATAGTGTTTAATTTACAATATAGGGTAAGTCAAGTCAATGAGTCTCCACCTCCAAACATCTGCCCCATTTTAATATGCGCACAAGTCATGAGGATCAGAAGAACCAGCCCAGATTTACCCACCATCATGAGAAAGACTCTGACCAAAAAGGACCTTACAGCTTTTTCTGGTTTTATTTTGAAGCTTTGTTGCTTCAGTTATGATTGTTCTTGGAGATTAGAAAGCTGCGGTCCTGGTGTTTTTTTCCCCCCTGATGTGTGGTTTTGTCGCATATTGATGTTAAGTCAGAGGAAAACTTTTGGAAACGTACTGGGCATGTCTCCTGAGTGATATATAGTTTAAAGGGATAGGCGTGTATTTGGTTGCTGGTCCTGCCCTTAGATGATTAACATATGCAGAAAGGTGTCAGGACATTTGTAATACCCTTTCTGTATAGTTCCTGGAACCGCCTACTCCCCTGAAGACCAGTGGTGCTGGGTGTATATTTGCATAGCATGATACAGTACTCTCTTTGAGTGAATAGAGTTTATTTTTTTTAACCCACCACGATTGCGATGAATAGGGCAAAAGAATAAAAACCACAGAAATGGCTCCTGTGTGCTATCTGGTGACTAGACTAAATGGTTTTTTTTCTCTATGGCTTAACTAGAGAATGCATGTTACTGAGAAAAACCAGTTATTTTGTTTGTAGGCTCTCTAGAAAAGACATTTGTACGTCTACAATTGAGGTTTCTGTGGGGATGCACATAAATACAGTAAGTACTACAATACTCAGACAAATTAGCATACACAGATAACCCAGAACAACTAATAATGAAATGTGGTAAAGACTAATATCAGTGCCATACCATCCTCAATCGTGGTGGGTTTCTAAAAATGAAGCTTAATGAAGATCTGAATATTAAATGAGCAAAGTGATTAGATTTGTTCTTCTATCCCAAGCTGTGGTCTAAAAGCAATAAGGCCACCATACATTATATATGCTTTAGCAGAAATACACTCCATCTACCATTAAGATAGCTCTCACCTTTCCTCAGCCCTTTTATACCAGAGATGGTTCGCAAGAAAGCTGGTTCTTTCATACCCTAACTGAAGACACCTTATTGATGCTTGAATAAATACATTTATAACAACAGCTTTTCAATATACTCCAACTTACATGAGCACAGTTCTTTGAGTACAAAGAGCTGAACTGGGGGGGGACTTCCATAAAAAGAGAAAAGGCTATGTTGGTCTGAATCTTTCTCATGATGGTGGGTAAATCTGGGCTGG